TTCACCTGAGATGTTTGTATTTACTTTTGCCTTTTTATATTTCTTAAAGGTCGAGTTTGGTGCGTGCATCATTTTATTTTGTATATTGTTTAAGCCGTATTTATTATTTTAGGTCATTAGCTGCTTTCGTTTTCTTACTTAGATTTCTTTTATACTTCATTTTCTTTTGTTTAAGAATATACTTTTGTCAAACATATTATTTACCTCGAGTGAGGCCAAATTAGAACATGTATACCTTGTTTATGGAGTTCCTGCTCGCGAGGCTTTACGAGGTTTTCTGGAGAATCCCAGCTGGTAAAAAAAAACATTACAAAGGTGGTAATTGAGCCTTCGTTTTGATCCTTTTACTTGTCACAGTTAGGAGCTGGGACGCCTATTATTGTTTCCATAAAAATGAGTTGTGACCGTATTTCATATTTATGGACTTCATCTGAATGAGTATAAATATTTTTGCATTATTATTGTTGTTTATATATATATTAAAATCGAGTTTATGTGTCACACTCACTATTATTGTGATTGAATCATAAATATTATCACTGCTGTCATGTGTCTGCTCTTATTTTACTGCCCAACACAAAGCCCTTACACCGGTACTCAACTAAAATATGTAGGGGGATATAACACACTTTGGAGGGACCCAGTTCTGGCCCTTAAGCCGCCTACCGGGGTACCTCTGGTTCATAGAACCCTTACAGTAGAAATGTGTATGTCTAGATACAGTAACTGTTAAATTTGATGACTAGTGACATTTTTTTCTGTTTCCTATATATTTTGTCATGCTATGATAGTCCACTTTCAATATCGAAATATCTACCTTCCCATACTCGCCTCTTCTCAATTAAATGTGACTTTGGTTTATATACTTGTGGTGAATATACTATATGTGCACTATGTACAGTAAACAAATAAGAAATGAAATATGTAAATAAAGAAAAAAGATACAAGAAATAGACTAACAATGATGCAGAGAAAAAAATGTGTATAAAACAAGAAAAAACTACACATGGCATCACACCACGTGGGTATGTGACCACGCGTTCCCGTAACGACCAATAGTAACGCGGTATCTGCGGGTCGGCCAATTCCAGGGACCTGATTGGTTGGCGACGCAGCTGAATATCTTAGGCGGGAAAGCATCGAGTCTCAGTTGAACAGCATCGGTTGCAGAGTAATAACGTGGTTCTGTGACTTTATTCTGGAAGAAGGAGCCCATTTGATTTTTCTTTGGACGTCCTTCAAATTATAAGGTAAGTGACTTTTGTCGATCGATTTGATGAGGGCAAGTTTTATTGATGATCGCTGAGTTATGGCTTTGCATGGATTCATGAATCGGGCAAGCGGTTAATCCTATAGGCGAGCACGTGCTTTTGTGCGCGTCCGTCGGCGCGTGTATGGATATGTTTGCCCGATTAATGAATCCATGTACTTGATTCGCGTAACATGCCGACTGTAACAGAAACAAAATTAGGTACAGTATATTATGTTTAATATGTTTATTATATAATTAATATAATTAGAAATGTTATCTTAACAATTTAATTTATCTAGACGGCTAACTTAACTGTATTTTCAGCATGGCACCAACATACGAATCGCCATGGAAGGGTAGGTTTTCCTGGCACACGCCCACCTACCTTGACCAAGGAATGTCTTCAAAGCCTCGTGCAGCCGGCAACAAACGTGACTGCAACCCTTATGGATATTTTGGAGCGCTAGAAAATAGAGAAGCTGGGAGTGATACGGTGTTACATGGTAGCCACGACATGATGGAATGTAATAATAACACCGTAAAGACAATGGTGTGTAACCCATGTGGAGAGAACACTTCGGAAGAGGAGAGTATAGGACATCTCCTTTTCGGTGAAGCTGAGTGTTCGGACTGCAGATTGCAGCTGAGGACATGTCAAGACTACCGGGAGAAAAAAGATCATATATGTAGTTCTGTATATAACAGTAAACACACCTTCCAGTTTCGGAAATTAGTTTACAGTTGCGATGATAAAAGATCACCCAACATCGGTACCAACAAGTCGCATAGTCTATCCTCAGTCTTGGAAAAACTGTCACCTCACGTTAACAATGTAGATTCCTTTCATAAGACAGCTTCCTGGATAGCGGCAATAAATGACGAAAGCGACTGCCAGGATACTGACATTGATTCAGGTGAGGTTTACGTGGATTATGCTCCGGTTAATGAAGAATCCAGTGTTGGGCCATTAGTAGATACAGATGGAGCAGACAGTTTCATTTTGCAAGACGAAGAACAGGAGGATGACTATGGTGATGTTCTGCTCTTAGAATCCTACAGCCTAGACCATGTAGAGGAAATGGTTGAGTATCAAATAGCCAAGAATGATTCAACGGACTGTATCATCCTTGAAGAAGTGGAATGTATAAAACGCGAAGATGTAAAACACAATCGGAGTCTCTGTTTATTCGAGACGCCTAATGAACTGAAGAGAGAACCGAAAATAGAAAATGGAAAATGTCCCGAATATTGGAAAACCGATAGATACTCAAATGACTCGAAGAAATGCATCAAATACGAAGAGAAACCCACTCAGAATGTCGGCTTCTTTGACTTCTCTGCAGAAGTAAAGATAGAACCGAAGGAAGAAGTTGCGATTTACCCGAATTTCTTGAAGGCCCAGAAGGATAGTTATTACTACGTCGGTCATGAGGCTATAGAAGAGTGCCCCATGTGCTATGCTACACTCTGCCCTTCCAGATTCACAGTGAATGCCAGGACCTTCGTTTTATCCACGGTCTGTATAGACTGTCAGCTGCCCATCTATTTGATAATCGATCCCCACAACGTGTATTAGGAGGCCACTTAATGCTTTTTGCATGAAGTCGTAGTCTCAGAATTGTATTTTACTGTATTGATATATGTGATAATTTCAAAGATTTATATTTTTCTTCTTTGTATATAGACTGTACATAATAAAGAGGATATTTGAAATACGCATTTCATTTCTGGAAATCTATTCAAACCATTTTAAAAGGGAATATCTAATGAATTAAAACCAGTTCGCATATGAAATACCATTGATAATATATCTTTATCTCATCAATAAAATACCGTTTAAGTAGATTTTCATGTGATATTTGTTAAGAGCTATTGTTCATATATATATATATATAGCTCGAAATGCTGTTGTGTTTCTATAAATATTAATGTTTTATTACTAGTTCATGAGGATATTTGAAAATTCGACAGAACGAAAAGAAAAATGAAATTACTTCGCACCTTTTACCTTTCGCTTCCTCTCCCTTTACATTTCAATTTCCTTTTTTGTTTCTCCCATTCCCGTTTTGCCACCCTTTATCATTCCCACTATTTAAATTTACACTACCCTCCCCATTCTTTCCTCTTCCCCCCTTAACGTCCTCAACCACTACTCCATTATCCTTCCCATGTCCGTCCCCAGTCCCCATTTCTGTTCCCAGTCCCCATTTCTGTAAGTCCCCCCTTTTCTCCCACGCCCCTTTTTTCTTCAAGACCCAATTCTTCTCCTCCTTCCTTTCCCTTTACATCCTTGGATAATTGCGCGTTGTTATATCAAAAGTGCTCAATAGCCCTGATGTATAAAAGAGAAACGTTGAATCTTGATGGTAAGTGCATGCGTTATACCTTTCACATATACACGATAAATTTTCGTAACGATTAAAGAAAGCATGTAGATATAACTTCCTAGTGTTTTTATACATACACACTCATGCAAACACACAAACACATCTGATGTTTACACACACACCAATTCACACGTACAGACATACGCACACAAACACATATAGAAATACCTTGATGTTTTTACGTCCACATACCCACACTCAGTCATTCACACATACACATGCAAACACACAGACACATACAAACACAGAGACTGCCCTGATGTTTTTGCACATCTGCACACACACAAATACTTCC